AACAGAACCGAGCGGTCGGATCAGAACCCCTCAGACAGAACCAGAACCCCCCAGAGCCCCACACCCACCTGCAGGGGTGACCGTCAGCCTGATGGCGTGGCTGATCTCAGAGTGCTGCCTCCTGCTCTCCACCACCAGGTCGCACTCGTACAGCCCAGCGTCCTCCCAGGTGGCGTTCTTCAGGATCAGAGAGGCGTCGCCGCCCTTCATGCCGCCGTCCCGCAGCATCACTCTCCCCTGGAAGCGGCGGTGCTGGTAGTTCTCAAAGCAGCGCCTGTTCCTGTAGAAGTAGACGTAACCGTCTGCCTTCAGGTCCGCTCTGCTCCACTTCAGAACCGAGATGCTGCCCAGGCTGCTGTCGCTCTGACACGCCAGGGTTACGTCCTGATTCAGGGGAACGCTGACTTCCTGTTGGCCTGGGGGCGGGACAAGCATCAGCAACATTTGATGAGCTCCACAGGAGGCGTTCAGGAACATGAAGACCATCAGAAACATCAGAAACTAAAAGGACGTTTTCACCAGTAGCTGGTTCTGGATCGATTCATTTAGTTCAACATTATATTTAATCACAAACATAAGGCCAAATGAGCACAAAAATGAACATAAAGTGTATTTTTCTGGGTAAAACTTGTGATTTGATATTCTGAGTATTCTGATACAGTGTTATCAGTTCTCAGGGTTGGTAGTTTCTCTCATTTCTCACATTCAGAGGTTTTGATTCTTATGAACATTTTCTGTTAGCTTCACTTTAAATCCACACAAAGGTTTTTAAACTCATGAACACTATTGAGTACAAGAGCAATTTACTACTAAATTAGTTCTAGCTCTTTTTATAATAGAACTAATTCCATACGTTTCTCAAGTTTGATTTATTTTACCTCAATAACTTAATGTGGGATAATGATTGATGACTTACAGAAACCTGGCTGCAGCAAGAGGTCAGCTGGTAAAAATGGCTGTTTGATATAAAGACAGAATGAAACTTTAAAAAAAAACCTCAATTAGCATGAAGATGCTTCTGCTGTTATTAGAACAACCAGTAATAAACCAGCAAGTCAACTTTCTGGTCTTTGATCTAGTGTTTTTAAGTTTATTAGTAAATCAGTGGATTTAATTTTTTTATTATTTAAATATCTACATGATTTTCCAGCTGAGTCTGTAATAAATTTCACACTACT